CTCCAGGGCGCGCTCACCCCGACCCTATGTCTGCCGAGGGAAGAGGGAGCTTCGGCCCAACTTGCACGTCAACTGGCCCGTGGCCGGGAAACTTGCCCGAGGAAGCGCCTCCTGCCCACTACCCCGTTCCGGGGAGTGATGCATCAGGTCACCCTGAACCCTTACCTGGCCAGCTTTGACAAGGCCTGGGCGCTTGGGGGCGGGCAGCTCGCACCCCCGCAAAAAGCCCGATGCGCTTACATGTTCAATGAGCCTGGACCCAAAGGCGGAGGAGATCGAACGGCTTCTCAAAATCTTTCAAAGTCTGAATCATACCCCTCGGCTCTTGCTGGACACACCGGGGAAGCAAGCCCCCAAGAGCGCCGCCGATTAGCTGAATTGGAGGGACTGGCCGGCAAGAGGCAACAGCTCACCATCCAGACCGCAAGGTTGGGGGCTTTCTCCGCAGGAAACGGGTGATTCACCTGTTTGGGTTCACCGCCAGCCAGCTCAAAGCCGTAGATCAGTGGGCCGCTTCAGAGGTCAGCTCTTGTTGGCTCCTCCTCCTGCACCCTTCGCGGATCACCCCGCGCTGCTGAAACCAACCAGGTACTGTTTCACACGGGACAGGTGGCTCCCCAAGCCATGCGGGCACCTTGTGGATCAGAACACAAAGCAGTGGTACCTAGTGCATAGCGTTAAAGGGGTGGCTTGTGGCCCAAAGCTCGAGGGGACTGACCTCCGGGTTGCGGGGGGGGACGCTCGGCCGAGTTCGACCCCTGAGCGGGAGAGAACTGTGGGAGATGCAAGGAGGCAGTGTATCCCAACACCCTGTGATGCTCAAGGCTGCCGTCCGGGAGGTTGGATGGAGGGCCGGTCAGAGCTTGCTTCAAGCCCTTTTCACCGAGGTCCCCTCAGTTGCAGGAGTCTTAGACCCTGAGGAAGTTGCTGCTTTAGGCCAGTTAGAGGTGTGGTTGAAAGCTTGGGGTAGGAACCCGAGACACCCTGCCAAATGAGCTCTACTTGACCTCTTGGAAGGAGGAAGACCCTACATTTGCTCCAACCCACGCGCGGAGTGAGAAGGAGGTGAACCCCCCCCCATCCAAGGCCGGGGTGCCCCTGGGTGAAAGTAGCAGTTCCAAGAAGACCCGCACCCGAAGAGGAACCGCCCCCAACGCGGCTGAAGACCTCGTCTCGCCCGCGAGGGAACCAGCGGCGAGGGAACACCCCACTCCAACAGAAGCTCTTAGGGGACCAACCCAATCCCTGGACCAACTTGGGACGGAAGCAGTGCTGGCGAAGCTAGACCAGAAAGCTCTACGCATCAGGGTGGAGGCAATGGGCGCTCAATGTATCAAGGGCCCCCTTGTTCCTGACGGGAGACGGGTGTGCCACCCGAGCTAAAGATGAACAGAGATTGATTAGGTTTTCCGTCTTCCTTCATCAAATCATGAAAAGGTCAATCAGTGGGATCCGAAAACGTCTTTCGGCCATACGCTACACCCACATCGCCGCAGGTTTCCCGGACCCCTTGCAAGGCAAACCCCGTTTATGGGCCGCTATCGCTGGTCTTCAACGTTGGGAAGGGTCCCCCCTAAGGAAATTACCGGTGACCCCTGAGATGCTTCGCTGGTTGATTCACCATGTCAAAGGGGTTGGTTTTAGCGTTGCAGACCAAGCTGTCGTTAAGGGGGCCCTGCTCACTGCTTAGGGCGAGTGAGTTACTACCCAACCAGGATGGATCAAACCCCTCCGGCAGGGCGCTCCGCCCGGTTGACATCGCCTTCTACTCTATAAGGGTATCCCAGTTGTAGGGGTAGAAGCTGATGAGGTGGTGGTTCAGATCCGATCCTCAAAAACCGACCAGTATGGCCGGGGCCAGGCAAGGTCACACCATCGTTCCGGTGGTGACTTGTGTCCGGTTGAGGCTCTTGCTGCTCTCCAAGCGCTGCAACCTCATCGATGGCGCCATCCGCAGGACAAGGAGCCACTGTTTCGGTATGGGGATGTGGGTCAGGTTTGGACCGGGAGGGATCACTCACTTCATCAAAGTAGCAGCTCTAGCCGCCGGGTTCCCCAGCGAGCTAGCCGGCTCACACTCCCTTAGGAAAGGGGTGGCCACAGCGTTTTTCGCAAGTACCGGCGATCTTGAAAGACTTAAGAGATATGGGGGTTGGTCATCGGATGCTGTCCATGCCTACCTGTATGAGGATCATACCGCGCAGAAGGGCATATCCTCTGGGACGCTCCAGTCTCAAGTGATCACTCTCCCCAAACAAAGGGACCCTAACTATGAGCCCCCCCTTCAAAAGGTAGCCAGCCGTTTTAGCTGGTTCCAGAGCGAAGCGCAGCACTGCAGCGGACAAGAAGGCTCAAGCCACATCCTGAAGCGGGTATCCTTCGCTACCATGGCAGGGTCGTTGACAAGTGGGAGGAGACAGCACTGTTCCTCCAGACTACAACCTGCTGGGAGTCAGAGAGGGATGCGCCCCAGAAAAAAGGCCAGGGTGATCCACCGGGACAAGTTCGCAGGAGCTCCGGAGGAGGTGAGAGAGAGAAAATCCAATGAGTTCAAATTGTTGACGGCAGCAAGGGACATTCTCCTCGACCCCTTCACAGCAGCGCGCTATGTCCGGTGGTTTCGCTCTCAAAGGGCAAGACCCTCGGCCGCGGGAGTTCCTCCTGCTAAGGCCTCTTCAGCAGCCGGAGCCCCCCCCGCCAGGAGCCAGCGGGAGCGCCACCACGGCGCCAACCCACACCGACTTCAGCGGCGGCCAGGCGTCAGGGTACTATGCTCGTCAGGCCTATGCTCAGCAGGCCTATGGTGAGAGAGGGAATTGTGAGGAACAGTTTGGGAGGTCAGGAAGCAGCAGCCACCGTGGCCCAGGAGCTGAACCCTGGAGACCCTCTGCTTCACAGCGGCAAACTTCGACGGCGCCGCCCCAACCCGAACGGCCAAAGGACACGAGGCCTAGGAAGCCTCCTCCTCCCCCCCTTCCCTTGCAGACACCAGCTTCCTCGGACAGGGAACCAAAGCCACAGGGGCGCCAACCGCCACCTCCCACCGGGCAGCCAAAGGACACGAGGCCCAGCAACCCTCCCCCGTCCTTGCCCCCAGCACCGACCTCGCCTCAAGCGCTGTGAGGGTGCTCCACCCGGGATACCGGCCCAGCCACGGGCCCCACCTCCCGCAGCTCCTGTAGGAGGGGCCAAAACCTCAGCGGAAGATGAACCGGGAGCCCCAAAGTCCACCCCAGCGCTCCGCTGGAACGGCCAGCGTTCAGCCAACCACTCCCCCCAAACACAGTCAAGGGCAGCCGACAGCCCCACCCAGAACCGACCACGAAACAAGGGGCCCCTCCTTTAGAAGCAGCCAGACCGGTTGGGATTGGTCCAGCTGGCAGTGGTCATGGAACAGCTGGGAGTACCATCGTGGGGGATATCGTTGGCAAGCCGACCCACCTCGGGGAGACCTACAAGACGACGAGAGTTGGGGAACGTGGAAGCCTGAGAGTTCCGGCGATCCGCCGGAAGGGGACTATGCGCAGTGGTACCGCAACCCTGCTCACAGATGAAAGCAGGGCCCCAATTCCAGAGCACAAGACTCCGCTAGCGATGACTCGCGGAGAAAAAGAAAATCTGAGAGAGGGGAACTTTTGAGCTTATAATACTTCATTTCTTCATGGCAATACTCCATGCCTTCACTGGCTCGACGGGAGGAAAGCCAGGTGAACCTTGGCACCTCTCGGGGTGATCTGCCGACGCGAAACGAGGCGGCCCATCACCGA